GAATATCCCCTCCCATCTTCAGAGCAATCTGACTATTATAACATTAGCGTTAAGAAAGCTTACTTAAATATCTGCCACGACATAAGTAACCAGATCAGAGTAACATTAAGTACAGTCCGCGGCACTGTGAGTGCAGACGTCGATGTGTCCCATTATCATTCATATCATATCACATCATAATGTATCATATATTTCCTTATCTGAGTCAGCTTCTTGAGCCGTATCTGGCCGTGCAACACTCAGTGTCACATACTGTATGCAGAAGTATTATTTTAAGCAACACATTAAGTTGACTAAACACTCGAGTCAAATTCTCCTAATTAAAGTCAGATCGTGTCTTAGACGGGGCAGTGATTTCATAAACCTGTTAATGTACGCATTCAAACGCTTTTTCTTTTACCAGCTGTATTCACCTTGCAGGTGCAGCTATGTGGCTTTTATCCTGGATAAAGTGTTTAAGTCATAGATGTTTAAAGTTTAACTTCTTCATATTTGACTAATATTAAAGTTCACTTTTCATTCAGGAAGTATGACGCTGCGCTGTCAGTACGCTTGTCCATGTTTGAGATTGGTCGAATGCTCCAAATACCACCCCTTTCATGTGAACGCGCACCTAACTAGATAGGACACGGCTGGCTTGAGCGATCCACTTGATAACCAGCGTCGTAGTACAGCTTAGCCAGAGCGCGTATGTTTTGGATTGGGCCAACCGGCTAACTCAAACATATCCAGGTTAGGAAAATCCGGCTTCGTAGTACAGGCCTCAGGGCATACCTACAACAAATCTTAAAGGTAACTTTAAACAATAAATAACAAACCAAATACAAGTTTAGTTTTTCAAATATTTGTAATATAAATTTCGATTGAATTGATTGATTTTGTTTTTAACATGTTAAAAGGAAAAGTATTCATTGGATTGCACACTTTGTTTGTGTGGATACACTGCAAAAACTGAAATCTTACTAAGATGAAATATCTTAAAGGGCCCATGTCATGGCCATTTCCACTGATCATAATTACATTGTTGAGGTATACTAAAATAGATTTATACTGTGCAATTTTCCAAACTCACATTGGTTTCGCATACAGCATCTCTGTCAAGCATGTGTATTCAGCAGTATTCACTTTCTCCACTAAACGACTCGTTGGAGCTCTTGCCCCCCCCTCCCTGTGAGCCTAGTGTGCTCCGATTGGTCAGCTCGGCCACTCGTTCTGATTAGTCAACCACCAGAGAGGCTGCGCCCATGTCAGTGCTTTTCCCGGCTGCTCTCAGCGTAACATCAGTCTTATCATGGCGTCGGTACAGCGGTATATTTTATATACATATATATTTTTAACTGTTGTTATAGAAGAGTGTGACGGCCCCAGGGCCTTTGTCTTACGATGGGGTGGAGCTGAAGAGGGTAATCAGCACGATCACGGACACCTCCGGACACTACGGCCCCAGTCTCTCTCCAAAGCGGCTGCAGGAAGACTAACTCTGCGATCCTCTCAACCACCTATCTTTGCATTTACCACAATAAATGTGCCGTGGTTTTGTAAACTCGTGTATGTCTCCTTGTCTTTCCGTTGTGGCCTACGAGCTACTCTCATAACAAAGAGTAAGTTATTTTTACCCGTTATAAACTACTACTGTTTGATGAGAAATCAAATCATGGTTTGCTATATATGAATTCAGGGAAGAAAGGATAGGCCTACTAAGTATTTCCATTCAACTTTATTTTTAGAAATGTACAAAATGAACATAAATATACATATATACACGGTATATCATCCATTCCTCCTCCTCTTGCCTGCGCACAGCCGGTGCGGTGCGGTGCCTTTTAGCACCCTCAGTAGAATCCCTTCCCCGTCATGGATTGTCCGCCAGGATCTGGCTGGACGAAATCAAATGCAAATCACAAAATATTAGAGAAACTTAGTTGTTTTAGATTCGTTAGTAGTAGTTGTGTAATGAACAGCTTGCCTGCTAATATGCTAACCTAGCTTTGTTTACCTTGGTAGCTAACACGATATGAACGTTAGCTTGGAGGAAAGGCAACTATAATGCAGTGTAATAAAACTACTATGAACAAAAGCTAGTGGTTCATATTAGGCTAGCAATAACGTGTTTATAATTGCAATCGTATACGGGTATTCTGCTACCATACAATGTAACTTGCATGAATACATTGTTTTGCGCTAGCATACAGCTAGCCTCGTTAGCTACATGCAGTATATGTACGGTCACAATGTACGGTAAACCGGAGTATACTGTATGAGTATTCCGTGTGTGTGACTGCAGACATTCTCCTGCCATGACAAACATGTAAGGCCATCTGCTGACATTGTAGTTGATATATTTAAACGCTAGCAACGTAGCATCACAAAAATGTTTTTCTGACCAAAACTAGCTCAAGCTCCGTGTGTTAGATCGCTACGCCAGCTATAATGTAATTACGTTTCGCGACTGACCGGCAAATCACCCGCAGTATACTGTCAATAGGTATTTTGTGTGTGAATGCAGACATTCTCCTGCTATGAGATACATGTATGCAAGGCCATCTGCTGATATTAGAGTTGATATATGGAAACTCTAGCAACTTAGTTAGCACAGTTAGCACTGTGTCAATGGCTTAGCAGTCCAACACAGTTTACACATTTAAACAGTCTTGTTTGATAAATACACAAATAACAATGCAAACTTACAGGTTGTATACCCAGATCTTCCCCTGCTCCAAACGGTCCAAACAAGCTGTGCATATCCGGCCTCAAACTGGGCAATGTTTTGGAAGCTTTCGTCTGTGAAATGCCGGTTCTTCGAACCTCTGGAGGAGGAACACGCCGCTGCTGGTGTGGCCATAGCTCTTCGGGATTGGTCCATTTCGTTCCGGGTACCGCATGACATCAGGCGGTACCCGGAACTAAATGGAAGACTCAAATGGGCAGTGACGTATCTCCAACGAGGCGTTTTGGGGAGGTATTTTCTGTGTTAGAGTTTTACTCGCTACAGGGTGTACTTTGAGGGTTTTGACTCTGCACACCGTTTACATGCATAAAACCTTCATAACACACAAGGGGACGGGTAATAACCGGAAAAGCATGACATGGGAGCTTTAAATCAAGGCAAAATATGCTTATATTTTGTCTGCCAAGATATTTTCTCTTACAAAGAAGTTTTTGCGGTAGTGAATTTCACTTATATTAAGTGTTTTTTTACTTCATTATCTTAATGAGGTTTTATTACTTGTTCTTGAGATTTTAATACTGATTCTGAGTAAATTAATGTTTAAATTGAGAAATACCATAATTCTAAAGGTATTAGATCAACACTGATACACTGCAAAAACTAAGCCTCAAAAAACAAGTAAAATAAATAATAAAATTAGTAATATATTACTTAAAATAAGAAAGATTATCTACCAACAGAACAAGAAAAATTCACTTGCCAAGACCTTCTTAAAACAAGTAAATATATCTAGCCTAAAAAGATCTACAGATATCTTAAAACGAGTGTTTTTAAACCAAAAATAAGTACATTTGAATTGAAGCAAGGAATATTTTTAAGAATTATAATCTTATAAGGAAAATGTGCTTGAATTCAGCATATTCTACTGCTATTGTCCCAAAATTCAATTTTATGTTAGGCAACATATCTTAAAACGATAGTTACGTCTGTAACTACGGTTCTATGAGTCCCGGATGACCGCCAGAGGCGGTGCTTTTAGCACTGGATATGTCCATCGTGCGCATGCGCAGTACGAGTACCAATATCAACAAAGTCACCTGTGACCCACGTGACACCGGCTATATCAGCCCGTGTCATCAGAGGATCTGTTCCCAGAATCTTCTCGCGAGCACACAAGAATTCTGAGTGACAGGAAACTCTGGCGGTCATCCGGGACTCATAGAACCGTAGTTACAGATGTAACTATCGTTCTATTTCGTCCCTACTGACCGCCAGAGGCGGTGCTTTTAGCACTGGATGACTTATACCAACCATGTCATGAAGAAACCAAATACTCACCTAGCTGGAAGCAGCGGAGCTTGGCAACAGGACCACGCCCAAAGGATGGGGAGTGGCGACATTGACCCGGTAGAACCTGGAGAATGTGCCGGAAGACGCCCAAGACGCAGATGGTCTCCAGGGGCACTCCTCTCAGGGCGGCCCAAGACGTTGAGACGCTCCTTGTAGAGTGGCATCTCACCCCTGATGGCAGGGGGCGGCCACTGGCCCCATAGGCATGTGCGATTGTATCGACAACCCAGTGGGACAGCCGCTGCTTGGAGAGAGCACAACCCTTCCTAATGCCGCCATGGCAAACGAAGAGCTGCTCTGACTGCCGTACACAGGCCGTAGCATCGACATACGCTCTCAGGGCACGCACAGGGCACAGCAACTCGGGCGTGCGGCTCTCCTGTGGGACGTTAAAGCGTGCCAGCTGGATGGGCCGATTGGAGTGGGCAAGTGGAAGCACCTTGGGCAGGAACGCCACATTCGGCCGAGCCATCGGAGTTCCACCTCAGGCATGTATCGCTCACGGAGAGGGCATGCAACTCCCCAACTCGCTTCCCTGAGGTTATGGCAAGCAGAAATGCTGCCTTCAAGGACAGCCACTTAAGCCTTACATGGGCCAGGGGCTCGAAGGGAGGAGATGATAGGGCATCTAGCACTAGGGGCAGGTCCCAAGCCGGAGCCCTCGGGGTACTAGGGGGACGATGCCGTAAGGCCCCCCTCAGGAAGAGGGACACCGACCTGTGGCGCCCCACCGTGGCGCCGTCGACCTCGACATGTTGGGCAGAGATAGCAGCCGTATATACCTTCAAAGTGGAGTGAGAACGTCCACTATCCAGAAGGGACTGCAGGAACTCCAGAATGGTGGCCACAGAGCAATGCCCCGGATTCTCAGCCTTACCCAAACACCAGTGGGAGAAGAGCTTCCATTTGCACTCGTACTGTGCTCAAGTGGATGGTGCTCTGGCATTCAGGATAGTTTCCCTGACCGATGCCGAAAAAGCGCTCAACAGTGGGTTGGGCCCTGCAGAGGCCAAGCCCAGAGCTGGAGGCGGTGAGGGTCGGGATGCCAGATCTGACCCCTGAGCTGTGACAGAAGGTCCTTCCTGTCGGGGAGGCGCCATGGTGGGCCGCAGCAGAGACTGCGTAGCAGCGGGAACCAAACTCTCCCCGGCCAGCGGGGGGCGACCAGAAGGAGCCTGTGCCCCTGAGTAAGGACCCTCTGAAGCGTCTGTAATAACAGCGGCTGCGGCGGGAAGGCGTACAGGAGACTGTCTGGCCAGTCGTGTGCCAGAGCATCCTGCCCCATTGGGCTGGTCACCTCTGCCCAGGAGAACCAGAGGGGGCAGTGCCTCGACTCCTCCGAGGCAAAGAGGTCCACCTCGGCCCTGCCGAAAAGGCTCCAGATTGTCTCCACCACTTCTGGGTGAAGCCTCCACTCCCCTGGTGGAGGTTTGTGCCGAGAGAGGAAATCTGCCACCTGATTTTGGTCCCCTGGTAGAATGACTGCCCGCAGGCTGGCCAAGCGGGGAGACGCCCAAGACAAGAGGCTCTGTGAAACCCGGAGCAGCTGTGCGGACCTGGTGCCCCCCTGGTGGTTGATCTGGGAAACCGCGGACATGTTGTCCGAACGAACAAGCACATGCCTGTCCGTCAGTTGGGGTAAAAAGTGCCTGAGCGCAAGCAGCACAGCGCGAAGCTCTAGCTCAGGGGTGGGCAATTATTTTTTCCATGGGGCCACAGGAGAAACTGAAAATATTGTGGAGGGCCGGGCCAAAAGGCTGAACTCAATTCTGCATAATATTAATTGTATTTCTTTATAAAAAGCAGTAAATAGCATTGTTTTGACAAGCTGGTAAGAGTATATGTTATAGTTAAGTAATGAAAAAGTTGCCTTACAAAAAAATGTCATTTATTAAATCAAATTTCCCAAAACAATGGTAAACAAAATGAACGTTTTTCACCATTTGTGACTCATATTAGTGAACATTTTCAGTCACATTCACTCAAACACATTTTGAGTTTCATTTACTGTTGGAAAGAGGTTCTTAGCATTGTAAAGACATCACAATATTGTCTTTGTACTCCAAATATTAAGCAAGATACATCATATTGAACTGTCACTAAACATCACTGAACTGTGATTTTGAGAAAAAGGCTTCCAAAGAAAGTGTCCCAGTTCACTGCTAGTTGGTGCCTTTACATGCCAACATTTGTAGTCTAACCACCTCATTTGGTGTTTTTAAGTTCTCTTTTCTTGTTCAGTGAGAGAAATCTAGTCTCTGCTGGGCTTTAACGAGTGCATCAAAGTCAGGTTGAATGTCTGAGGTGGAGATGCGAAGCACAGCTGACAGATGATCATCAGTGAGAGAGGATCTATACCTGGATTTCGTAAACTTCATAATTGAAAATGTTTGTTCACATATGTAGGTCGAGCCAAAGAGAACCAACATCTTCTGAGCATGTCTCCTCATGTTTGGAAAGTTATCCTCCTTGAGAGAAGAGTAGAAATCCAGCAGAGATCCTGACTTAAAGTGCTCTGCCAGTACTGCATCAGACTGCAGGTCGATGAGTTCCAGCTGAACATCACTGGGTGCATTATCCACACTGCAGGTAAAGGGAGAGGAAATCAGGTGCATTTCATCCTCGATTTTTCTGAGATCTTCAAATCGCCTTGAAAACTCACCATGCAATGCTCCCAACATGGATGAGTACCTGCGGAGGTGATCAGCTGATGGTGTGACTTCTTTCAGGGTTTGCATGTGAGTGAGATTGTTGCTCTCCAGTTGGCTTGAAAGAAACTGCATCTTTGTCATGAAAGCCTTCACCAGGCTGTGCATTTCATGAACAAAAAGGCCCTTGCCTTGCAGTTTGGTATTCAGTTCATTCATCAGTGCAGTCACATCAATAGCAAATGCAAAATCTGCCATCCAGTCCTCATCTGAGAGCTCTGGGAAGTCTTTGCCTTTCTTCTCACAAAACTCTCGAATCTCTGCTTTCAGGTCCCAAACTCTTTTTAGCACTTTGCCCAGACTGAGCCATCTGATAGCTGTGTGGTAGCCGATGTCACGATGCTCAGTCTCATGCTCCTCCAAAAGTGCGATAAACTGTCTGTGGTTCAAAGCTCTTGCCCTGATGAAGTTTACTATTTTAGTAACAACATCAATAACATGGTTAATTTTTAGCACTGACTTGCACAACACATGTTGGTGTATAATACAATGCAAAAATACCAGTTTCTGATCCGCGTCGATTTCAGTCACTTTATCTTGCATACGTTTCAAAAGTCCGACATTTTTTCCGGTAAGATTTGGACAACCGTCCGTTGTGACACCTGCCAGTCTGTCCCATTTCAGTCCCAGCGTGTCCATGCACTCGTTTACCTCCGTGAACAGATCGCTCCCTGTAGTCGTCCCTTTCATCGACCGCATTGCTGCCAGCTCCTCCGTAATCTTGAAGTCCGGTGTTATCCCGCGGACGAATACGAGTAACTGGGCTGTGTCGCGGACATCACAGCTCTCGTCCAAAGCCAAGGAGAAAAAGTCGTAACTTGCCACTTCACGTTGCAGCTGAAGCTCCAGATTCCCCGCAATGTCCTCGATCCTTCTAGTCACGGTTCGCCTGGACAGCGGGACTTGCTCAAATGCGGCTTTTTTTTCAGGGCATATTAGTGCTGCAGAGTCCACCAAGCACTCTTTGACAAACTCCCCCTCCGAGAACGGCTTACTGTTTTTAGCAATTTTGTGGGATATCACAAAGCTGGTCATGGTTGCTGCATCACTGGATGTGTGAAGCTTGGTAAAAAAGCCTTGCTGCTTTTGCAGCTTAGCTAGCAAAGCTTCCGATGTCCGCGCCCTTTCAGCGTCAGTCAAGTTTTTATATTTCTCCGCGTGTTTCGTCTCGTAATGTCGACTCACATTGTACTCCTTAAACACGGCGATCTGCTCCCCGCAAACTAAACACACGGTTTTACCTCCGACTTCAGTAAATAAATACTTAGCAGTCCAATTTTTGTTGAAAACCCTGCATTCAGCATCTACCTTTCTTTTTTTAGCGGACATTTTTTTGAGGGCTAAAGTCGTCTTGTGACAAGGATCCAATAATGTGCACGTCTTGATATACGTATTGCGTCATTATGCACGTGAATAAAAAACAACTTCAAAATAAAAGCAATGCAGCTTTAGTCCATGCATGAGGTAAAGTTAGAAAATATGTTTATTTTGTAATTTCCAATTAGCCTTACACAGGCCGGTCAGAGTCAACCAAAGGGCCGTATGTGGCCCGGGGGCCGTACAATGCCCAGGTCTGCTCTAGCACGTTGATGTGATATGCACCTTCCTGGGCGGACCACAGACCCTGAACAGTCCTGCCCTGCCACACAGCACCCCACCCTGAGAGACATGCATCTACAGTGACAGTCTCCCGGCGGGATGGGATGGCGCCCATGGGCGCTCCCATCAGAAGATAGGCCCTGTTTCTCCAGCGTGACAGAGAGTGAAGGCACTGGCGCGACACCCTGACCCTCCTGTGCCTGTGCCACTTGGCGTCCAAGTGAACGCTGTTCAGCCATATCTGCATAGGGCGCAGCGACAGCAGACCTAAGGGCACAACGGCTGAGGCAGCCGTCAGTCTGCCCAAGAGCCGGAGGAACTGAATGTAAGGCACATTCTTGCCCAGCCTGAAGAGGGGGAGAAGGTGGGAAATGTCGTCCACACGACGAGGTGTTAGGCAAGCCCTCATGGCGACCGAGTCTAGGACCAACCCCAGGTAAGTGACCCGTTGGGAGGGGACCAGGCAGCTCTTCCCGGTGTTTACTGTCAGGCCCAACCGGGCTACGTGACATAAGAGGCGCGCCGTATCCTGGGCCACTTGGGACCGGGACGGCGCACAAACCAGCCAGTCGTCTAGGTACGGCAGGACCTTCATGCCCTGTGCCTGCAGGGGTGCGAGAGCTGCCGCCACGACCCTGGTAAACACCCTTGGAGAGAGGGAGAGACCGAAGGGAAGCACCCGGAACTGATAATGCTGGTCCTGAAAGGCAAACCTCAGGAACTTCCGGTGGTGGGCCGCAATCGGCACGTGGAAGTAGGCGTCCCTTAAGTCCACGGTTGTGAACCACTCCCCCTGTGTGACAACACGGAGGGTGTCTGCTGTGGTCAGCATGTGGAAGGGCAGCACCCTCAGGAATCTGTTGATTCCTCTGAGGTCCAGTACTGGACGAAATCCGCCGACTTTCTTGCTCACCAGAAAGTACGCCGAGTAGAACCCCCCGGACTGAAGCAGGGGGTCCACTGGCTCGATTGCGCCCTTGGCCAAGAGGAGCTGCTGCTGGGAAAAGCAGCCGACGACCGGCCCAGGGACTTCAGGGCCTAGCCCTAGCCCGGATCCTGCATGGCAGCCAGGGTCCGGCTATCAGAGCTGAAGCGGGAGAGGGCCTTAGTGTCTCTCCAGCATGCATGGAGCTCCCTCAGGTACTCCTCCGAAGGAGGAACAGTGAGGGGGACAGGGGTAGGGCTACGCCTGAAGAAGGCGCTAGCCTGAGCCGCGTCGGCCTGCGGAACAGGAAGCTGCAAGTGTGCCAGGGCCGCACGAATAATGGCCGCCATGGAGGCGTCCTCCACGCCCTGCAGAGAGCCCTGAGCAGAGGAGTGGGAAGCCTCCCCGGAAGTGAGCGGGGCCTCGTCCTCCACCTCTTCGTTGAAGAGGTTAGCCGAGGCCGCTAGTGACATGGCATCCTCATGCAGAGGTGCGGCAACCGAAGGAGGGGCAGGCGGCAAGCCAGCAGCCCCTATACCGGCCCCTGGTTGAAGGGCTAAGAGGAGCGACTTCATCATGTCCATGTCGGCGGCTAACCGATCCACCTTAGAGGACAGCCTGTTAGGGGGCGAACCCGTAGCCATCGCTCCCTCGGGTCGCCGGGAACGGCCAAACTGACCTAGGGGAAGATGCGACAAGGAGAGGTGTCCGTTGGCTTCTGCCAGACGCTCCACCTCTGCGACTCTGGCCGCTCTAAGCGCCCAAGGCATGCAGCTACAGTTCATGCAGGCGTCCTGCGTGAGACCCTCCCTCAAATGCTCGAGACCAAGGCAAGAGGGGCAGCGGTCGTGGCCATCCTCGGGCTCGAGAGAAGCCATACAGGCGCTACATGGATGAGCCATCATGTAGGTAGCCGGATGCAGCGTAACCGGGAGCGGGGTGCGAGAACACAGCCTTCACCAGTTACCTGCTGAACGGAAGGAGTAGAGCCCTGCTCCTACTCGCCGAACACGAGAGGGGTGTAATGGGGTACACCCGCGTTACTTAGCAGAGGGAGCGGGGAGCGAGAGCACTGCCTTCACCTAGCTAAGTAAATGAAAGTGCAAAGCTACTAGCAGAGGGAGCGGGGAGCGAGAGCACTGCCTTCACCTAGCTGAGTAAACGAAGCACGGAGCTACCAGCAGAGGGAGCGGGGAGCGAGAGCACTGCCTTCACCTAGCTGAGTAAACGAAAGCGCGAAGCTACTAGCAGAGGGAGCGGGGAGCGAGAGCACTGCCTTCACCTAGCTAAGTAAACGAAGCACAGAGCTACCAAATAAGGAAGCTTAACAGGGCAGCTAGCCAGCCGGCTGCTGCTCACAGTCAAGGAACACTCTTACCAGGAGCGGGGGTGAAAACACTGCCTTCACTGGTTGAGTAAAATAGCGAAACAAGCTAAGGAAACTGCTTCTAAAGAAAAACCAGCACGGGTAATCCGGTGCTTACCTCAAGCGTCAGCCAAAGTGGCTGACCAGGCAGGACAGAGTTAGGCTGAGCCGCGCTACTGCTAACTAGCTAAACAAGAGGACACAACACAAGCTGGAACTCAGGATGCTAATGATAGCTTGGCGCAACGCCGCGCTATCAGAAAAGTACAGAGAACGCAACAAGGGCAACTCCTGGGAGAGGGGGCGGAAACGCTACCGTCACCAGAAAGTTCAAGCCAGGTAGCAACCAAGACAGAAATCAGGACAACCTAGCTGGGAGAGGGAGTGGAAACACTGCCGTCACCGACCAAGCCGACACCAACCTGTCCGTTGAAGTTTTCTGCGCAGCCGGCCGCAGCTCCTGGAGGACGGGTAATCCCGCGGCTCCGACTGGATCAGTCGCGAAGCTACACGCAGCCAGCTGGATGCAGAGAAATCCTTAAATCCAAACGTTCCAACTGAACGCTGTAGGCTACAATAGTGTAGCCACGGTACTCTCGCGCAGCGAGAAGATGAAAGGAACAGATCCTCTGATGACACGGGCTGATATAGCCGGTGTCACGTGGGTCACAGGTGACTTTGTTGATATTGGTACTCGTACTGCGCATGCGCACGATGGACATATCCAGTGCTAAAAGCACCGCCTCTGGCGGTCAGTAGGGACGAAATAGAACCAGTGCAGCTTCACTTTAAACAGGTACATTTGTCTAGATACAAAGATAAGATTTAAGAATTATTTTCTTAATATGTAGAAAAATCTACTTAAATTCAGCATTTGGTGCTATTAAAGTATTCTTAAAATAAGGCTAAATACCAGAGGTGGGACCAAGTCATTGTTTTGCAAGTCTGAGTCAAGTCTCAAGTCTTTGCGCTCAAGTCCGAGTCAAGTCTCAAGTCTTTGCACTCAAGTCCAAGTCAAGTCTCAAGTCTTTGCGCTCAAGTCCGAGTCAAGTCTCAAGTCTTTGCACTCAAGTCCAAGTCAAGTCTCAAGTCAGGATGGGAAAGTTCAAGTCAAGTCCAAGTCCTAAACTTTGACAAAACGAGTCTTAAACAAGTCCTTATGTGCTTTTCAACAAATGTAATGACATCGATCAACAGAATAATACTTAATAATCAAACTGCTCTTTATTAGTCACATTAATAATTTAATAATCCATTTTCTCTCTGCTGGTAAAGTAACGTGTTTTTCTTCTATTGTAAGAGGGATCAGTAAGGTAAGGCTACCGTGACGGTTTGATTCAGAAGGAGTTTAATGTATAAGATCCCTGATGTTGAGGTGACCAGAATGTTTATTTCCACTGTGTACAGCATGTTATAAGGGACCCACAATCTATCTTTATGCAAGGGATAATGTGCAGCGAGGCGTCTCTATGGGGAAAAGAACACCTGACTCTAGATCCCTCTGCAGGTGGTACTTTAACTATATTTTGATGCTAATACTTTTGTACTTTTACTTGTAACATTTTGAATGCAGGATCTTTTATTGTAACCGAGTATTCCTACACTCTGGTACTTTTACTCAAGTACAAGATCTGAACTTCTCCCACCTCTGGCAATAAATCCTGAGTGGTTACCAAAAAAAAAACCCTGCTCTGAAGGTTATTTTCATTTTACAAATCCTGCACTCAGCTTTGCTTTCTCCAATATCATTGAAATGCAGCCAGAAGCTGCTCCTTTTTTCGGTTTTCGCAAATTTCTTGACTTCTTCCGACGCGCTTGCATTTAAATCCGTCTCCCCGTCGCTCTGTGTATCTGGCCTGTACCACTACACCTGCTGTCTTTGGAGCGTCTGCCCCCCACCCTTCTTTCACATAATGGTATGATCCTAGTGTGTCCTCGCATATGATTGGCCGCATGGTGGCTCAGCAAAATAAAGTCCCGCCCCTGCCTGCATGGATTCTCAGCAAGAGTTGCAGCGGCTGAAGATTCTGCTCTCCCCGACGGGAGTCTGCTCTTCAAGCGGCATCTCGCGATCGGCGTGTTGGAGACCCCTGAATTAAATGATCAAGTCACCTCAAGTCAGAAGGCTCAAGTCCAAGTCAAGTCCCGAGTCATTGGTGTTCAAGTCCAAGTCGAGTCGCAAGTGTTTTGTGATTTTGTCAAGTCGAGTCCAAAGTCATCAAATTGGTAACTCGAGTCTGACTCGAGTCCAAGTCATGTGACTCGAGTCCACACCTCTGCTAAATACCAAGAAAAGTAGAGACAAAACCTTCAAAAATCTTTAATCCTATCAAGATATAAACTTTGACTGCTTGCATAAAGAGAAATATGAGTCTCAAATTATTTCTTTTAATGTTTTTATTGTTTTCAAACTGTGTAGTAAAGGTCAGTCATCAGATATGTCTTTAGAAAAAAAGAGAACATTATTTCAATGTAAAATGCAACGCAAGTGAAATTCTCATGACACTTTTGACTCAGCGAACAATTTTCAATAGGACTATAAGTATGAGGGGCCGCTAGGGACATTATTCAGAAATACCGTTCACATACACATGTGAAACCAACATAATTTACAAACATGTAAAAATCTCTCATATACACATATGAAACGCTCTCACACACGTATGAAATCCAAAGTTATTCCCATATATATGTCAAACGCACTCATATACACATGTGATAGTACGCACTCACACACACCTGAAATGCACTCACACCTGAAACGCTCTCACACACACATGAAACGCACTCACACACACATGAAACACTAATATGAGTGATGTGTGATTATTATTCATGCTATATACTGATATAGGGCTAAGTAAGCAATCAATCCTGCAAATTAACCCTTAGTTGTTCAATATATTTATTCAGACAATGTGAGTAGAAATACAGAAATTCTGCTCCCACCTAAGGCCAACGTTGCAATATTACAACATTTCCCTAAAAACTTACCAAAACGTAAACATTTTTAAAACTCTTTCATTTCTGCTCCAGAGGCCAGGGGTTAAATTGGGATTTGATATGTGGGGGGGCTCTGTTAGAAGGTGCGACGGGGGGGGGGGGGGGAGAGAGTGAGACGCTCGTGAATTGTCAACGGGGGGGGTTAACATCAGAGCATCGTCCTATGGGCTTAGCCCCGGACAGGTACAACAGGTATTCACTCAGAGGGGGGTACTAAATGCCATCCATTTACATGTAGGCAAACAAAATCAACATACAGTAGGGGGGTGGGGGATGGTGAATCAGCTATGTTACTATTTATAATGTTATTGTTGTTACAACAGAAGATGTTTTTCTTTATATTGAAGTTAAATGCATCAATCTGGTGCACTTTGAGGTCAAAATTAAGAGATTTATGGATACCGCTGGAAAAAGCTGTGTGTGAAAGTTTAAATCTTCCTTATTGAGCTTTAAAACAAATGAATAACGACTATATATAATAATAAAATAAACACCGGCTGTTGTTATGCCTGCTGTAACGTTAAATTACTCCGTTCTCCGCTTAAGTAATTATGCCGTTACAAGCTTCATAGTTGTATTTATCATCTAAATTTGCCGAAACAAGTTTAATATTCTGAAAGCCAAGACTTTGTTTATTTGAAATCAGATGAAAACAAACTGTAACGGACCCTGCCGTGTTATCTTGATATTTCCGGCACAGACCCTTTCATACCGGCAATGCGCGATAGAAACAACAGGAACTGCGACAGCATAAATATGCGAACACAAACCTACAGACTGCTGGAGAAGAGATATCACAGGGGGGGGTTGGGGGACACACATTCCGATGGCCAATTAGTTTTAAACAAAGAGTATAGCCTACTCAACATAGGGGGGTGGGGGCTGGTGAACGGGATGGTCAATGTTTGTAAACACTGTGACATTTTGACTTTATTTGATCATTTCAGTTAAAAACTAATTTAGTAATTTACAGGAAAGGAGTGCACGCTACTAAAGAGACATGCTACCATGGAAACCAAACAATGGTGTTGCTGTAATGAAGTCAGAGTGGAAACAGTCATATTTGGAGCGTTATGTTAGAATGAAACAGCCAGAGGCCTGTACTACGAAGCCGGATTTTCCTAACCTGGATATGTTTGATTTTTGTTTTTCAGTCAATTTGACTTGTTCAGTGAGAAAAATCCAGTCTGTCTTGGGCTTGAACAAGTGCACGGAAATCTGGTTCAATGTCTGAGGTGGATATGCGAAGGACAGCTGAGAGGTGATCATCAGTGATAGAGGATCTGTATCTGAATTTGTTGAACTTCATCACTGAGAATGTCTGTTCACATATGTAGGTAGATCCAAAGAGGACCATCATCTTCTGAGCACGTCTCCTGATGTGTGGAAGGTTCTCCTCTTTCAGGGAAAAGTAAAACTCAGGCAGTGAGACTGACCTAAAGTGCTCTGACAGAAGTGTGTCAGACTGCAGGTCAATGAGTTCAAGCTGAACATCACTGGGTGCATCATCCACATGGCATGTAAATGGGGAAA